CTAAATGGAAACAGACCAACAAAAATGTTCTGACTGTGACAAAATTGGCCTATTCAGATGGTCTGCCCCCCACCCCCGTTCCATAATTCCCCTAAATTATTAAATTTCCTTTGTATCTTGAAAGCTTTGGGAGAAAAACCGTTATATGGCATTAGTATGGTAGACAGTGCCTTTGTGTAGTACTCAGTTCACGCCAGGCTTGATACTGTACTATTTCCTGGAGAAATGATGATGTCCATGACTTCTGTCTGCTCTCAGGAGCAACTGTAATGATTATTTTGCTTCTGGATAAAGGAAATAGTTGATGTGGTAAACCTCCCTGCTGTTTGGTGGTGGTGTGTGTGTGTGTGTGTGTGTGTGTGTGTGTGTGCGTGTGTGTGTAGGGGGTGGCAGGGTGGGGACAGGGATTATGGATTATAACCTTGAACTATAAGGATGACAGCCTTAAAGAAGACTTGAGGGTAATTAAAAGGCAGATACTAGGTTTCCCTTCCCTTCAAAGTATATTCTTAGGAAAGTTACTAAGTGAGGGGGTGAGGGAAGAACAGCTTCAGCTATAAGATTGGTCAGAGCACTCTTCTTTAGCCTATTAGAAATAGGAAGGAAATAAGACAATAGAATTTATAGTGACAGGTCTTTGTTTTTTGATTGTTCTTTGCTGAATAGAAATCTACAACAAGGTACATGATTACTAATATATTTTTAGTTCATATGTGGTTAATCCCGTTTTTAAAAGAGACTTAGATTTGCATTTATATAGAAGAGACTTCTTAATGTGCATTGGGGTGAAGGGTGATGTGATGGGGAGGGAAATAGATTTACCGTACGTGTAGTTGCTGCGTGTCTGTCGTTTAGTGTAGGAGGTGAGTGGGCTTTCCTGGTGGAATGGAGGCATCAGAGCTGTCCACACAGGAAGTCTTCCCTGAGTGCTGTCCACACAGGAAGTCCTCCCTGATTGTGGTCCACACAGGAAGTCCTCCCTGAGTGTTGACAAGCCCTCTTCCTGCTGGTGCCCACACCCACTCCTGCAGGGAGTGCAGAGAGGCTCTGCTAACAGAGCCACCCATTTATTCACCACCAACTTTATTTTTCTATCACTTTAGGCATGCGAATTCAGCCTAGTTAAATGTTATTGTGAAAACTGAATTAGCTTGTTTTCCCTGCCCTTGGGTAGATAACTTGATAGGGATCTTGTTTACCTGACCTGAAGCAGTGAGATTAGGCCTGAGAAGGCTGAGCTATAGACTCCTAGGCTCTTGTGGGATGGGTCAGCACTTAGCTGTGGTCATTCAGCCACCCAGTTCCTTAAATAAGTAGGTTGAATTTGTGAAAATTGTCCACATGCTTCATCCAAGGGGTGGAAGGTGGGGAGTGTCTTTTCAAATTCTAGGGCAGCTTAGGGGTTTTGAGAGGCAAAATGTAAAAGGACAACCAGTGATGAAAATGGAGTTTGATAAAATATCATCCACTTGTGAGCTTTTTTTTTTTTTTTAAGTTTGCGGTTCATGCTGTTGAGGCACTTGACTACAAAGTGTAATTGCTTTAAATTGATCAGGGTTCTGAAGTTGCAGATAAAGACTTGTCAGTGTTTGTGTTTCAGTCTGGGAGTGAGGGTTTCATTCTTCACTGGTTAAGTGGAGCCTTCCTAAAATGGTGACTCTGATGTTCGGCTGTAATGTGCTGTAGCTTTCCAAAATTGTTTGCAGAATTCTTTTAATGAAAAGATTTATAAGGTCGAATTTTAAAAACTGACCTTTTTAAGGGTTTTGTTAAAAAAAAAGCACAAGTTGACTGTTGCTCATTAAATTAATTTAAAGGCACCTTTGACTGTTTTTTCTTAAAAAAACTTAGCCACCAATGGTATTGTCATATTTCAGAAAAACTTGAATTTCATAATTTAAGTTGCAGGAAGAATGGGCACAGAAAAATGAAATACTATTAATAGTTCATTTAGGATATAGACAGTGTTTTGGGTGCCATTTAGAGTACAGATTAAGGGCTCTGGCTTTGTTGTCCGGCAGATCTGAGTTCCAATTGCAGCCCTGCCTCCTACTAAAAGTGTGACTATGGCACATTACTTAACGTCTCCTGAGACTCAGTTTCCTGATCTGCAAAATGGGAGAACAATAATGCATCTGTCTCGTTTGGATTAAGTAAGATGATGCATGGCACTGTGACGCATGGCACAGTGTCTGGCACATATGAAACATGCAGGATATGACAATAATTATTATCCTGCTCTTACAATTATCATTAACCCATTCTGAATATTTTGGAATAAACTCCTTTACTGTGTTTGCATTTTCTTCTTTGAACATGAGGAAGTCTTTATTTATCAGGCTTTAAATTTTTTATTTCAAGGAGTTCTAAAAACTCAATCTTTGATCTAAAATTTTCTGTACCAGAAAATGGAAAATGGACAACTTGGACTAATTTAATGCTTCTTCTCTTTAGTCATCAACTATTTCTGAGAGTTGATAATAGGATACATTTGAATTTAACCTTGGTCACCAGAACTCACCAGAGACCAGTCACCCTCCTCAGGATGCATTCGGGAACTCCCTCCTCCCAGCTGGGATCGGAATACTAGGAGATTTCTTTCCCCCAAAGAGTAGGTTAGAGAGAAAGTGGGGAGGCACAGACTGTATATGCTCCCCACCTACTTGCAGCATGGGAAAATATTGCTGTCATAAATATGGAGGCCGGTCAAAGATGCATTCCATCAGCTATGTAGATCACGGCTCTGCTTCTCCCAAATATAGATACATAAATAAAAGCCTGCTCCATCATGTCCAAGAGATCTCCAGATAGCTCACACGTCCACATGTTTCTTTTCATTGTGTAAGTCTATGCCCGACACTCCACTTTCCACCCCAGAGAAGAGTAGAGGTGAGAGCTGAGGCAGACTTGGGATACAGTCTTTCAGATGCCTGCTGGTTCACTTTCTTTGGGTGGTGTCATCCCACTGCAAGGTGGGCACGGACCCAATCCACAGCTTCTGTCAGACCCCCCTGCAAGGCTTACCCAGGTGACCACGTTTCATCCCCCAACTGCAGCGCTGAACACACCAGGTCCTATGGTGAAAAGCTGTGTTTGAGGCAAGCACAGGCTCTCGGATGTGAATCAGAGGTGATTTAAGAAAAACTACAGTCTTGCCTAGATGTCTACAACTATCAGTTCTTTGTGTAAATCGAAGGCTAGGGACAGGGTGGCGATGTATGTGTTAACTTCCCAGCCCCTCTGTTCTTCACTGAAGTGAGAAATAGAGGGTGCCTGGCTGATTGCAGGTTGCAGCCAGCAGTTAAATTGAGTGACTTTGGAGAAGGGACACAGACCTCTGTGTGGCACAGCTGGGGGGGTCTGAGGTGCCAACAGTGGCAGAGCAGGAGAAGGGCTTAGTTTATACCTGGAAAGCTGTTTTTATCCCTTAGAGACAAACAGGGATGAGAGGAAAGGATTTGAGTTCAACTGCTTATTAAGGGCATAAATCAGATAGATTTGATAGGATATGATCTCAGGCAGGTTTTGTTTGGATTAAGCTGTGCTGATGTTCCTGGTTCAAGTTCAGCCTTCATTTATACATCGACTGTTGTTAACCCTTCTTGCACCTCTCCTTTCTGAAAAAGAATCCCTTGAGATAAAGTGGTGTTTGGACTCTGATTTTAATTTAGCAAGGGCGCTGGGCAGTGAGAAGAACATAGTATAGGCCATGAAGAAATGGTTACACGCCTAGATTCATGAGGTGCCCAGTGCCTCAGGATACTGTGGAGTTAGGGTGGCCGTGGCAAAAACTGGGTGCAGAGCCAGATAATCTATCCTGGAAAGTTGAGATTGCTGACAAGGTCAGCAAGGTTATATTTATTGCAGGGGGTCTACTTTTTGAACTTTCTAAAGTGGAATTTAATTGTGTCCTAGAGATGCCTCATTTCTTATTTATGGTAGTAAAAATCAAGCTGTAAGATTTGAAAATTTTGTTGAATGTCTAGTGACTAATTTTACATCTTCAGACTGTTACTCAGTGTCAGTGATGCCCTTGGTTAGTCTATTTATTATTTAGAAGATGTGAAGTAAAAAAAAATTCCTGTCCTGGTGTGAAACTGCAGAGCATGTGCTGTGAGGACACTTTGGGGTGTGCTGACTTCCATGTCAAACGGAACCATTTAACTTCCTCAAAGGTCATGTGTGTGGCATAGGGACAGAGAACTGTGGTTTCTTTCGATTGGTTAACAATTATCTGACGTGAGTACGTTTTCAGACATTCTTCCTAGGTGGCTGCCGACTGAAACCACACCGAGCCTGGCTTGCAGCCTTTGTAAAAGTTACCTTGGTTGCTGCCAGGCCTGGGAAGGTTTCCAGCTTCTACACCATTCTCACAGGGGTTAAATTTCACAAGGTTAGCCAGAGCGAAAGGTAGCCGACCCTGTGAATCTTATCCAGATGTCTCAAGGAAGCCAGGGCCTGTCTTAGAACTAGGTGAAGTCTTCCTTATTTGAGCCTCTTGACTGAACTCTGACTTGCTTACACTTGAAGAGTAATCTTTTTTTTTTTTTAATCCCTAAGAATCATCTCAATAAAATTGTCAGCAACTTTCAATCAAGTGTCCTTCAGAATTTGAAAACCTTTTCAAAAGTCCAGTGATTTCTAAATGACTGTAGATTAAAATGATATTATCAATAACTTTATGCAAGTTCGTTTTGAGCATCAGATGTGTTCCTCAAAGTATGTGAATAAAATCTTACAAAAACTTAGTCCTGTTTCAGGTGTAGGTAGAGAATATTCTGCTGAGTAAAATCCTATTATTCATGTTGAAGGAGAGGGTATTTTTGTAGAATGAACAGATCTTTTTTAAGGTGTAGATTAAAATCTGCAGTAAAGTAGCTGAAGATAAATCTGTGTGCATATCTTGGTAACTTCCTCTTGGTTGGGAGGTTATACAGCCTCTGAATGGTGCCGGAATCGGTTCTGCCTGGCGTTCTAACGCTGCCGTCTTTGTTTTCCAGCAGTCTCTGGTCCCAGCCCACCCCATGGCCCCTCCCAGCCCCAGCACCACCAGCAGTAATAACAACAGTAGTAGCAGTAGCAGCTCAGGATGGGATCAGCTAAGCAAAACGAACCTCTATATCCGGGGGCTGCCTCCCAACACCACAGACCAGGACCTGGTGAAGCTGTGTCAGCCGTAAGTAGAAGCTGTTCTTGTGTTTAGCTCCTAAATATCTCCTTGATCATATGACACAGTGAGATAAATTGTGTTATAAGAGAGGTTTAGTACAAGACAAATCTGTGAATGCTCGTTCTGGTCACAGTTGACAGGGTTTCTAAGTTTTGAGTCCTTGGATGCTTTTTCAGTCAGCATTACGATCAACAGAATGCCTATATAATAAGATAAATTGGAGCATTTGCTCAGTAGAATTTGACTTTATTGGCACATGAGAAGCAGGCTAATGAATTGTTTAAAAACATGGCTGGTTCCTTTTTGAGGAGTGCTGACATTTTGTGGAAGCACCTCTCGAGGGCCATTCTGTCTCATCATAAGAGAAACTTTGTCACTGTTTGTCAGAAAGGTAGTTACCGTCTAACTTAATCCTAAATGGGTATAAACTCTAATGCCAGGGGGGCAAAGGTAGTCTGTCTTCACTCACACCTCTGGTTCTGTGGTCCGGGCTGTTCACGCTCAGCTCTGGGCATTCTTTTTTTTTTTAATTAATTAATAAATTTATTTATTTTTGGCTGTGTTGGGTCTTTGTTGCTGCGTGCAGGCTTTCTCTAGCTGCGGTGAGCGGAGGCTACTCTTCGTTGCGGTGCGCGGGCTTCTCGTTGCAGTGGCTTCTCTTGTTGTGCAGCACGGGCTCTAGGCACGCGGGCTTCAGTAGTTGTGGCACGCGGGCTCTAGAGCGGAGGCTCAGTAGTTGTGGCACACGGGCTTAGTGGCTCTGCGGCATGTGGGATCTCCCCGGACCAGGGCTCGAACCCGTGTCCCCTGCATTGGCAGGTGGATTCTCAACCACTGCACCACCAGGGAGGTCCTTAGCTCTGGGCATTCTTATGCCCAAAGTTCCTATTCCTCTTCTCACCGCCACCCTGCTGTGTCCTGAGATGTGCATACATGTATAACTTTGTTCCAAAGGAAATTTGCATTATATGCTTGTGGATAAATAGAATATAAGTATGCTACTTTGCTGCAATCACATTAACTAAGGAAGAAAGCACTAGTTTAAACCAAGGAGCCAGAAGCACTCACATTGCAAAGGTCACAGTGTAAAGACTAAAAGTCTCCAATCACTTTAAGATATAAAAGCCTACACGTACAACAGCCTCTTTTATTCATCCAAAGACAATCATGGTCCCGCACAAACAGAACTTTATATAACTGTGGAAAAGGACGTCCACTAAAGAATGTTTACTCTTCCCTGAAAAGTATTTCCATTTCTAAACATATGATTAATAGCATCTTATTTTTGTTGTACTGGGTAAAGTATAAATTTATTACTTCTTGCTTTAAGAAAAAATTTTTTTTCAAAACTTACTTGGGCAGCGTTTGCAAACTGGAACTAAAAGTAACATCTGGCCTTCCATCAGGAGCCATGGTGGTTTTGCTCTGTTGTGTTTTTAGAGAGGAGGGTGGGACACTGGGAGGTGGTTTGTCAGCATCTGGAGAGCCTTCCAAAGGCCATCACCCTCAGGACCCTCCCTCCGCCTTTCCCGTGTTACCCTTCTGATCAGCCCCTTTGGACTTTGACTGCAGCCTTTGCTCCCAGGGCAGTGAAATTATGTCCTGTGCTAGGGATGACTTTGAAAGCAAGTCCAGCTCTTGGGGTTTGTCATGCCTGACCAGAGTCAGATGGAATTTTGCCAGGCGCGCCCTGCCCTGTTGCAGCTGTTCAAGACCACAAATAGGCCTTTTTGCTATCTTGTCTGCTGTTGACCTCTACAGGCATTGTCCTCTGCTTTTGCAACATAATTACAGGTAGATAGAGCACCTAAAGTCTAAGGAGCTAAAAATATAACTTTGTAGGACACAAAAGAATGAAATTAACCCTCACATTCTTGAGGTGTAAGAGAAGGGGGAAAGATTTCAGAAGACAAATTGTTCCTCAGCTAGTTTTGAATCCTGTAAGGTGAGTTAAGGGGATAGAGTTAAACAACCATAAAGTAATAGAGTAATACCATGTTTTATATGCAGTAAATATGTATTTGAAAAATTAAACCAGCAGTTTTTTTACTGAGTCAAATCATATTCCAAATGCAGCAGAAGAGCATTTGATCATCTTTCCTGAAAAATTCATTCCTTTGTTGTTGTTGGTCTCTTTGACATACGTGGATTTTCTCAGCATGTGTAGACATCAGTCTCTTTGCTGTTATCAATAGCAGCAGTAATGGTTTGCCACTCACTCTCTCCTATCATTTGCAAAACCCCAGGTTTGATATTTAGCTCTGATGATAGTTTTCTTTATGTATTATACAGAGGCAAGACATACAGTAATAGAGCACTCTATGTCAGTATCTGCTGAAAGCTTTGTTCCATTTAACACAGAGCATCTAATAAGTACCAGATTTGTCTGGTTGACAATTTTGTGTCTTAAAATGTAGAGAGAGCAAAAAGGAGCATTCCTGTTCCGGACTTAATTGTTTCCAGTAAAGAATAGCTAGTTGGCCACATGGAAGTGACAAGAACCTTATGGAAAAGTGACTCATCCTAGAGCTTAAAAAGCTGGACATAATTAGAGATTTTTTAGAAAAGTTTCAGAAGCTTCTCAGAAAAGATAGGTGTAAATTCATAGCTCTAAAAATATATATATTTTAGAAATAAAAATTTAGCACTGTAATTTACAAATTAATGTGAATTGTAGGAGGGGCAACAATTGAAACAAGTAATTTGGGTCTCTAGGGGACTTGGATATTTTAGAGGGTTATGTAACAGAAAAATGGAAAAAGATACCTAAGAATGTTTGCAACAGGGACTTGATAATTTACAAACAATGCATGAAACCTGAAGGCAAGAATGATATGAGGATTGTGAAAACCAGAGAGGGAGACAGAAAGTATTTTTAAAAAGCTATGTTTGGAGTAGAACATACAGATGCTATAATGTTAGAAGAAATGACAGTGAAAAAGCAGATGTCAACACAAGAGATGGCAGTGAAAAAAGCAGCCTCAGCCCAAGTCAAAGAGGGACTTGGGACACTGGAAAGTGTAGGTCAACATGGCTGAGGGAAAGGGGGCTCACACTGGAGGGTGGTCAGTTTTGGTGACTTGAAGGACACTGGTCTGAAGGACTGGGCAGGGATGTGACAGTGGTGATGGTGGTCAGGTGATAGGGAGTGAAAGGAGATCAGTTTTCTAAGAGGATTTGATGAAAGAAGCTGACCAGCTCTAGCGAACTTCTGCACTGTGATGTGTGTATATATAGGAAGTCTTGTTGGGACCTCATGACGACTCTGGCTGCTGCAGCTCTGCACCCTATTTCTAAAGTGTTATCTGCTCAAAAAGAAGACATCAGTCCAATTAACCAGCACATTTAGGAAATGGAATGAGCTGGGTGACAGAAAGGACTCATCTTTTACCCCCTGACCTTTAGATAATCTTCATTCTCCGCCTTCTCTAAAAGCAAGCCAAACAAAAAAGTTTGCCTGACTGTGTTGCCCTTCCAACTTCTCTGGCAGATTTTCTAGGCAGATGAGCCGACGGCTGTTGGTGCTGCCATTTTCTCACTACCTTAACCCTTTGCATTTTCCTTTCAAGTTTCAGCTGAAACTGCATGGCGTCTTCCATCTCCCTTATTTCCTCTGGCCTGTTTTCACTGTTGTCCACATCTCCTCAACTCCTTGCTCTTTTTTTTTTTTTTTTTTTTTTTTTTTTTTTATCGC